CATGTGAATTATATTATTATTAAATTAATTATTATTTTGTAGGGGGTAATAATAATAATATTTTCAAATGATTTATTTTCCTCAACAACTTTACAGGGAGGTCAAATCCAAGCACCTATAAGGAAAGTATTCATAAATAAGTTTAAGGATGTATTTTGTGAAAGTGATTTTTATATTTTGGGTAACTTTGGAGTTAAACGAAATATAGAAGATTACTGTTGCACTAACCAAACTTTCAAGATTAACTTTCAGTCTTCAACTTTCGTTCATCTTTATGAGCCTACTGATATTGTTTATCAGATTGAGTTTACATTTATCTCAACTGGTGATGTATTGTCTTCTAGAATTGATAATCGAATTTTTGTTGGTATGTCATTTCTTCCATAAATTCCTTTCATAGATAATTAGTATTATCTAAATTTATATATATATATATATATATATATATATATATGTGTGTGTGTGTGTGAGATATGTTTAATATAACTTTAAATTTAATATTTTATTTGTTTATTAAATTATTTAATAAAAAAATTAAATAATATATTTTTATCGGTATAATTTGATTTTTCTCTTGTATATATAAAAAATATAGTTTTAGAGGACATTTAAAAAATCTACATATCTATTTTTCTTGATTTTAAAAACTCTTAAATTAAAAATATATAATAAAAGTTTTATCTTTTCCTTTTTTTCTCTCCAATTATTAATCTTACAAACAAAGTCTAATATATTTATACAACTCATGTATAAAATAGATTTTATCCACAAATCATTCATTTTAATTTATCTTCAAGCAGATTTTTTTAATTTTTAAATAATTATCTCATGAGTTTAACTTATTTTAATTGTTAAATATTTTATTAAGTTTATATAAGTGGTTCCCTCATTTTTCTTAAACAATTCATGGTCTTATTTTATTAAGATTTAAAATTTTTTTAAGTCTCACTCTTAAATATTCTATTGTTGTGAATTTTACTATTTTTTTTATATAGTTGCGTGACTTTGCTAATTCATTTATTTTATTTAAAGTTTAATTTATTAATTAACTTATTTGTATTTTTTTATGTATAGTTATTTGTATTTGTATGATCTTATAAATATTCTATTATTATAACTTTTTTCTTCACATTAATTTGTGTGTTTTTGTATTATTTTATTTATTTATTTTTTTATATTGACATTTCTAATTACGTTATCTTATTTTATTGGTTTGTTTTTTATTTTATTTTATAATTATGTGTTTAACTTATTCTTAATTATTTTTTACAAATTTTATAATTTGTTGTTTTTTGTTTTTGTCAAATTTATTAAGCAACTATTACATTTTTCAAAAGTTATAAAACTAAATTAAATATTATGTATAAAATAAATCAATAACTAGTATCATCTATTGCAAAAGCAATACAAAAGAAAAGTGAGATTGGATTCCTCCAATCATGGCATGAACATTCATTACATTTTTATATAAACATAAATAGAGAAAATAACAAATTTTTATATAAAAAATTGTTGAAAACTAACAAAAACTTATGTAAAAGATAAAGGAGTTGAAAGAAGCAACACTTTTATTTCAAAAGAACAAACTTGGCCAATATATAACCTTACATATGAATAGAAAAATTGAAAATAAAAACTATCCACGTTTACAGTCCACTATCTCCTAATAACGTGATAGACCAATTTAAAGACACAACTGCTCCTCCTAAAATAGGGGAACCATAAAACTGACTAACAAATCCTCCTTTAAATTGAATGCTATATGCAATCAGTTTATATCAAACTCTGAACATACTCCTAGTAACTTGCGTAGTTTTAGAAAAACATCTTGCTTGAGTGGTTTGGTCATAATATCAGTCACTTGTTCTTGTGTGTCGCAGTGTATTATCTCGATAGTTCCAACCTTTGTAAGATCCCGAAGAAAATAAAAACGAACATCAATATGCTTTCAACGATCATGCATAACTGGATTCCTAGAAAGTTTAATAGCAGAACTACTATCACACTAAATCATAGTTGTCTTGCTTTGCATTTTACATAGTTTTTCTAGCACTCTTTTCAACCATATGGCTTGACAAGCACACAATGTTGCACCTATAAACTCAGCTTCGTAGTTGATAGACTCACAATTGGTTGTTTCCTCGATGACCAAGAAATAGCAGCTGAACACAGTAAGAAAACATAACCCGAAGTATTTTTTCTATCATCCAAATTTCCTGCATAACCCCAAGTATTTTTTCTCCCTTTGTGTAGAAAATTCCAAACTCAGTTGTTCCTTTTAAATATCTTAGTACCCTTTTAGCCACTTGTAAATGCAGCTTATTAGGATTCTCTATATACCTGCTAATTAAGTTCACCACGAACATCATATCAGGTTGAGTAAATGTTAGGTACATAAGACTTCCCACAATTTGTTTATAGTAAGTCTTATTCACCTTTACACCATATTCGTCTTTTATGAGTCTAACACCAAGAACAATTGGATTGTGCACAGAATTGCTTTTATCCATTCCAAACCTTTGCAGCATCTCTAATGCATATTTCTTTTGACATAAGAAAATGTCATCTGATCGTTGCAACACTTCAAGACTAAGAAAATATCTCATTTTACCAAGATCTGTCATGTCAAATTCATGCTTCATGGAGCTTTTAAATTTTGCAAACATCAACTCATCATTTCCAATAAAAATAAGATCATCGACATACAAACTAACAGTTAATACTTTATCTTTTTCTTTCTTTCTTCACAAACAAAGTATACTTGTAATCACATTTCTCAAAACCTTCCTTCATAAAGTATGCTTTTATGCAGTTGTACCAAGCACGGAGTGCTTGCTTAAGTTCGTAAAGGGCCTTTTTCAGCTATAAACTTTATGCTCACCCCCTTTTTGTACATAACCACAAGGCTGATCCACATACACTGTTTCATTCAACTCTCCATGTAAAAATGCTGACTTTAAGTCTAACTGATAGATTGTCCATCCCTTTTGAGCAGCAAGTGCTACCACCAAACGAATTGTCTCCATGCGAGCTGGTACAAATATTTATGTGTAGTCTACCCCATACTCTTTTGCATACCCCTTCACTACAAACTTGGCTTTGTATTTGTCCACTTTTCCATTATCTTTGAATTTAGTCTTATAAACCCACTTCATTCCAACTTTCTTTGCTCTGTCAAGTAATTCCATCAATTCTCATGTGTCATTTCTTTTTATTGTTTCTATCTCCACATCTATGCCTTTTCTCCCTTTTTCAATTTTGACAGCAGCATCAAAGTGAGTAGGATCACCATCACCAGCTGTAAACATAGCCAGATTAACTTCTGTATTTCCTTCAGAAAGTCCTTTTCCAGTTTTATAATCTTCCATCCAAAGCGGTGGTCTTTTACACCTTTGTTGACTGGGGCTAGAAATATTTTCTTCTGCCATAGAATAAGAGGAAATATTATCCTCTTCTTCGATGTCAATATTATGATTAGATTCATACCATGTCTCATTTTCTTCTTCCACAACAAATTCCACATCTTTATCACCCCAATCTAAATTACATAGGATGGCTTCTTCATACTTCTTATCCCAATCCCATACCTTATCTTCTTTAAAAACAACATCCATCTTATTATAATCTTTTGTGAAATTGAATCATAAAACTTGTATGCTTTTGAGACTTCACTAACCCCCAACAGAACATAACACGTGCTTTTATCATTTAGCATGGTTCTTTTAGCATCAGGCACATGAGCATGAGAAATATATCCAAAAACTCTAAAATACTTAACTAAAGGTTTGACTCCGCTCCAAACTTCTTTTGGCCTATGATTTCTCACTGCTAATATTGGACTCCGATTCAAGACATGCACGAACCAGTTTGCAGCTTTAGCCCCGAAGATTTTGGACATTTTCTTCTCTGAGAGCATGCTCCGAACCATGTTCATAATGGTTCTGTTATTTCGTTCTGCAATCCTGTTCTGTTGGGGTATATATGCGGCTGTCAATTGCCTTCGAATACCATTTTCATAACAAAAATTGGTGAATTCTTGTGATGTAAACTCTCCTCCCCAATCAGTGCGCAAGCCTTTGATTAATGAAGCAACTTTCTTCTCCACCTGAATCTTAAAATTCTTGAAGACAAAAAAAAACTTTTGATTTTTCTTTCAAGAAATAAATCCATGTTTTTCTATTAGAATCATCAATAAAGGTAATCAAATACCTTTTTTTGGCTGTTGGAAATAGGTTTGATTGGTCCACAAATATCAGCATGTATTAGTTGCAGGATTTGTGTGGCCCTCTAAGTACTCTTCTTTGGAAATGAATCTCTTGGTTGCTTCTCTACCAAACAGTCCTTACACAGTTTTGTTGGTGCCTTTATTTTAGGTAAGCCATTTACCATACTCTTCTGTTGAACTTAAGTATCCATATCTGCAGTGCCAATATATCTTCTGTAACTGTGTGAAAGCAAGTGGATTTTGCAGGTTGAGATGTGGCGTGCAACATGAACATTGGATTTGAAGATATTCTGGTTTCTATGATTAAACTGTTTTTAGGATGGAAAACTTTGCACTTTCCATGTTGAAACATAATACTAAGCCCCTTTTCTTGTAATTGCCCAATACTTAGCAAATTAGTCCTCAATTCCAGTACAAAGAAGACTCCAGTAACAATATGTGTTTTGCCATTCATGGTTAACTTGATGTTACCTTTTCCAGTTACAGCCATGTTGGAATTATTGCCCAACTTGACAGAGTCTTTGTAACTTTCATCAAGATTTGAGAAGTATTGCTTCTTCCCGCACATGTGATTGCTACATCCAGAATCAAGAAACCACATTGCCTCTTCATTTGACTTGTTCATATCTGTGTATGCCATTAATAACATTTCTTCCTCAATCTCTACATAGTTGGCCTCTTTCTTTTGGTTTGAACATTCCCAGCTGAAATGCCCAAGTTGATGACAATTATAGCACTCCACTGCGAATTTGTCAAATCCTTGTCTGCCTTGTCCTCATCCTCGTCTTTGTCGTCCAAAAACTCCACGACCTTGTCCCCTTTCTGCATATTGAGCATTTTGATCTCCATGAGCAACCTTTAAGGCATGTTCTTCTTCAACATGAGGAGTCATGCGTTGTTCATGTATGAGCAGGCTGCTTTGCAATTCATTAATGGTCAGTGTGTTTGTATCCTTAGACTCCTCAATGGAGCACACAACATAATCAAACTTGGAAGTCATGCATCTTAAAATTTTTTCCACTACAACAACATTTCCCTTGTTTTCACCATTAGCCTTCATGTTGTTGGCTATGGAAAGTGTCTGAGCAAAATAATCATTGACGAATTCTCCCTCCTTCATGTGGAGAATTTCGAACTCTTTTCTTAGAGCTTGCAATTATGCACGCTTGACTCATAATGTGCCTTGATACTTCTGCTTCAAGGAATCCCATATGTCTTTGCTATATCCTTGTTAAGAATAGTCTCCAAGATTGAACGATCTAATGCTTGAAATAGGTAGTTCTTTGCCTTCAAGTCTTTTAATTTCTTATCATCAATACTTTTTCTTTGAACATCGGTAAGAGGTATTCCTTGTGTTACTTTATGAATCCCATTTTCCACCAGACCCCAGTACACCTTTGAACGTAAAAAATTCTCTATCACCCAATGATTATAGTGCCCGTCAAACTTTGGTATTGTTGGCTCCACAAAGGAACTCTCCGATGCCATAGTTTTTCACACTTAGAAGACTGATGCTTCTACTTTTAATCAGGCCCCATGGTGGGGCTCTGATACCAGATGTTGAAAACTAACAGAACTTATGTAAAAGATAAAGGAGTTGAAAGAAGGAACACTGTTATTTCAAAAGAACGAATTTGGCCAATATATAATCTTACATATGAATAGAAAAACTGAAAAAAATAAACTACCAACATTTACAACCCACTATCTCCTAATAACATGATAGACCAATTTGAAGACACAACTGCTCCTACAATAAAGAAACCATAAATCTTACTAACAAAAAATAGCTTAAGTGATTTTTTTTTGTTTAAGCAAATTTTGCATTGACAATTTTCTCTTCTCTTTCTCCCACATACTTAACATTATCTCTTTAACCTTCATATTTAACTTCTTTTCTCCTTTCATGCTTGATTATTTTCTTTCTCTCACCTTATACTTAACTTCTTTCTTCTTTTCACACAACTCCTTTTTTCCTCTTCTCACTCTCACCTTACTTCACCTTACACTCATGTTTCTTTTTTTTTTTTTATACCTAACTCTGCTACCTTTATTTCCTTCTATTACCACCCCTATACCCTATATCACCTCGTCTTTACCCACCCTCAGTTTCCTCTTCTCCCACCCAATTTCCTTTTTTTCAAGTGTATAAAAATTAATTAATTTTACATAAATTTTTTTTTGTCATTTTTTTATTTAAATAAAAATAAAACTAAATGTTTAATTCTTAATATAACAAGAAGAGATCTAAATTCAAAAAAGTGTTACAAACACTATCTCTATAAAAGATAATTTTTTAGTTAATATATTTAGTTAAGGGTAGAATCTCTTTACACTAATATAAGTCTAAAAATTATTACACTCAATCTGAGCGTTTTATTTAACTTAAATCTAATGGCCAGTGAAGTAATAAATTATAACCTATTAGATTTAAATTAAATAAAAAGCTCATATTGGGTGTAAGAGTTTTTAGACTTATACCGATATAAAAAGATCATTCTCCATTTAGTTATATATATATATATATATATTAAATAAATCTTGTTTACTTTAAATTTAATTTAATAAGATTTTATAATATCTAGATGACATAAATAAAAATGATTTTTTTTTCTTTTTACATGTTCAAATTACATTTTAAAAAATATATTGCAACATAATCAAGCCTACAAATACCTAAATACAACCTCACATGCATATACCATCCACTCATCTTCAGGAATGCTTGAACATCAACTACTGTACTTTTATAACTGTACAAGTTAGAAACACATTAACATTTTCCATTTCAAAAACATTGCAAATTTAGACAACATAAATAAGTAACTAATAAAATCATGAAATCGATTTTTCAATTTATCAAAACAAGATAAATCTTCACCTTTTTAGTATTTTCAAATATTCGTAAGGCATATTAATTAATATTTAAAAACCGAAAAGAAAATTCCCAAAGGGTACCAATTTTTTTTAAGGGGGAATAAAATGATGGCGGAACTAGTCCAAATTTGCACGGTTGGCCACCCCGCGGTGACGAAGTAGCGTAGCGGATACAGAGAAGAGTGCAAAAGGGGATCGTTCGATCACAACAAAAGAAATGGCGGTAATTCTTCTCAACGCCCTTAGTTCTTCACAGTGTGCATCACATTTCATTCCAAATTCGAACTCCAACCTTCACCTTCTTAACTTCCATTTTGTTCAGGACTCGTCGGGAACCACGTTGATGGATCTGATAACGGCGGACCCAACACCGGCGCCAACTTCATCGTCGGCGTCCAGTGCTGCGGCTCCATCTCCGGCGGCACCGCCACCGGCAGTTCTGCCTTCTGCGTTAGGGAAGCCCGCTACGGAGAAGAAATCGAAGAGAGCCACTTTGATGCAGATCCAGAACGATACCATTTCTGCTGCTAAAGCTGCTTTACATCCAGTTAGGGCCAATATCATGCCGCAGAAGCAAAAGAAAAAGGTACCGCAATTTCTTCTCTTCTGCGAGAACTTGATGGTTAATTCGTTCTGCATCGTGGATCAGTTAGTTTTTAGTTCAACGTATAGGTTTTTGATCACGTGCTTGAAACTCTTGTGTTTTTGTCAAACGGAGTTTAGTTGATGCGATATGACTCATACGAGACTTGTTGTTTAGTATTGATAGTGCATAATTCTGTGCGTTTGATCTTCGTGTATGTTTGGCTTTGCAGCCAGTTTCGTATTCACAGCTCGCGAGAAGTATTCACGAACTAGCTGCCACTTCTGATCAGGTGAGTGTCGAAACTTTCTTTGCGAGATTATGTGGATTTGTTGTTGGAAAGGTGAGTGGAAACTCTCTCATGTTTTGTTTTCGACGGTAACGTGGTTTCAGAAAAGTTCCCAGCGGCAATTAGTGCATCATGTGTTTCCAAAACTTGCAGTGTATAATTCCGTGGATCCTTCATTGGCTCCCTCTCTTCTCATGGTATGCCCCAATTCCCTTGAACTTGAATACTTTCTTATAAGTTGTTTCTGGTCTTCTTTATTCCCCTGATTTCGTAGTTTGTGTTATTCTTTTGACTTATTACATTAATACCTCTTTAGCTCCTAGGCACGTCTTTGTATGCCTATGGCATACTTGTGGCAATTTTTTTAACGGATGGGCCAACTGCTGAACTCATGTACAATAATATGTCAGACTGCATTTTCCTTATGGAATTTGTCTACCATTGCTTAATCTGTTGGGAAAATCATGTATCTTTGTCTCTGTTCTGTAGCTTAATCAGCAGTGTGAAGATAGAAGTGTCCTACGATATGTCTATTACTACCTGGCCAGAATTTTGTCTGACACTGGTCCTCAAGGCTTGAGCACAGGTGGTGGGATACCCACCCCCAACTGGGATGCTCTGGCTGACATTGATGCAGTTGGAGGTGTTACTCGGGCTGATGTTGTGCCACGAATAGTAGAGCAGCTTACTGCAGCATCCAAAAATGCTGAGACTGAATGTGAGTCATTACTTGTTTTTGTTTTTTATGGTTTCAATCCCTTCAAGCATAAGGTTGCTTTCTTGCATGTGTATTTGTGCATGGGCTTATGTGTTTTACCTTGATTTGAGAGTGAGCTATAGTTTCTCTTGGGCTTTTAATTTGAGTTTTATTTTATATAACAAATTCCTTAGAACTCACGTGGACTGGATGAATTCCTTGTTCATTGTATTAAGTTTGTAAATGGATTTTCCAGATGTTAAGAATTTTGACCCAACAAGCTTTGGCATATATTTTACATTTTAAGCTGTTTGGTGACAAGGCAAGGGCATTTGTTTTGGCTTATCTATTGTCCTTTACATACAAGACATCTTTGAAGGTAGCCAACGTTAGGAGAGATGAGAAATTACAAAGTTCAAGGCTGTGTAGAGTTTTGGATAAATTGTTTATGGAGACAAGCATTAGGTGAAATTGTTACATTAGAAGAAGGGACGTTTAGAGAATTGAGACTGAGATCCAAGACATAGAATTGAAGGAAAACTTACTTGAGAGTCAGATCCTTGGCTTTTCAACTGTATAGATATTTAGATACATTGTACTGTAGAGTTCCAAAAATTAGGGAAAAATCAAACATGATCAAGGAAATTCTGTAGCTTAATTACCTTGATTATGTACAGATATAATTAAAGGAAATATTGCCAGCAATCAACATAATCTCAGCTTATATCAATCATATCCAGAACCAAATTTCAGCTCCGATCTCACATAATCTAGATAGAATCTCAACACAGAGAAATGGAGTATTCCATTCAGAAGGAAATGTCTGAATATAAAGAAACAACAATAAACAAGTTGGATGTGGTTATGCTCTGACTAATAAAACTGGACATGGGCACTAAAATGGCAGGATTGATGCGCCCTTTTATTAACTGGGGCGTCTAGCTATCCTCAATATGGCTTTTGAATTGGGGCATCCTTTTTTGGGCAAAAATTAAAACTCTATCAGAAGCCAAAGGAGGAAAAGTATAAGAGTCTCAAATAAGTTTTCTGTTATGTAATTGTTTAATGAAATATAATTTGCATTCAACAATTGTATTTATTGGAAATTATAGTTTATCACAAGCAGTATATTTCTTGTATTCCTTTTATTTGACTAGAAAAACTTTTATTGAATCTTCCTTAGTTGTAATTGGTGCAAGTACAATCAGTAGTTTATAATTTGAATCTCCATGTAAATGTTGTTGTAGCAATATTGTCTTTGAACATGAATTAATATAGTACAACGGGACATGACATCTAGAGTTAATATGATTATCTAAATCTCTAGATCAAATCATCAGAATTATGCAAATAGCATGAATTTTTTTGGTAAACATGCGTTGAGCCTGTTTGAAAATTAAATTGGTCATATTGTTAAAACAATGCATGAGTTTTAGTTGTGGAAGTATGCCATCATTTTTCATTTTTTGATAATGTCTTGATTTCTATTCAACTTATGTTCTGAAGTTCATGCTCGAAGATTGCAATCATTGAAGGCACTTACATATGCTCCTTCAACCAACTCTGATGTTTCATCCATATTGTATGAAATTGTATTTGGCATCCTAGAGAAGGTTTGTGCTTTTCTGTTATCTTAATTATATATATAAGATGTCACCGTTTACCCATATATTT